AAAGTGTCAAGGCCACTAAAAATTAGGCAAGTCTGAGAAAATGTCACAGCCCACAGGAGCCGAAGGAGACCTGACTAAATACAGTGTGGGGTCCTGAATGGGATCCTGGGACAAAAAGGAAACATTAGGTGGCAAGGCAGGAGATCTGAAGGAATTATGCACTTTAGTTAATAATAATTTATCAATATTGGTGATTGTGACGAATGCACTACAATAATATGGCGCATTAAGAATAGTAGAAACCAGGTTTAGGGTCTATGGAAACTCTTTGAGCTACTTTCATGACTTCTGTAAACTCTACTCCAAAACAAAAAGTTCCCTTTGAAAAATTGGCTCTAGGATCTTCCCCAGCGATTGTAATTTAGGAGGTGTGGTTAAAGGGGAGGAGAAGAGTCATGTGTGTGTGTTATTAACACGGTCATCTGCTGATTCTGATGCGGCCAGTTTGTAGACCATCCTTTGAGAACCTTAGTCCATTATGAAGTTTCTCATCCTTGGCTACACCACAAACACCTGTGTTGCACCCCAGATGTTCTGATTTAATTAGCCTGTGGCCTGAGCTTTGAGATTTATAAAAGCCCCTTAGGCAGTTTCAGTTGTAGCCAAATTTAAAACTCACTGCTGTACCTATGGCGTCCAGCATGGTTGTTATTAGCTGTGGCTATTCACATTGAAATTTAATTAAGATCAAGTAAAATAAGAAACTCAATCACTATACACATCTCAATGATCAATAGTTTCATATGGCTAGTGGCTACTGTGTTGGCTACTGTTGGCTACTAGTTAGCTACTGTTGGCTACTGTTGGCTACTACTGTTGGCTACTGTTGGCTACTGTTGGTTACTAGTTGGCTACTAGTGGCTACTGTTGTATGGAACATTTCCATCACTGCAGAAAGTTCTACTGGACAGCGCGGGTCAGTATCGGTGTGAAAAGGGCATTTGTGACCTTCTCCTAGAGCTTCTGAGAGGAAGAGTCCTTAAATATTCCCTATGGGTAATGCACAGGACGGGCTTTTCTTCTTATTGGTGATGATTAGAATAACCAACTTGTCCTGATTTTCCTGAGACTTTCTAAAGCACTAAAAGTCCCACATCCTTCCCACAACCCCCAGGACTGAAGAAGAGTGCATGCTGGGCTCCCTTAAGCTCCCTGGTGCCCATGTTGCCCTGTGTGCCCAGCATTGCACGAGGCAGGGAGGTAGACTAGTGTAGACATCTGCTTTTGTAGGCTAGTTTACCCCCTTATTCTCAACTTCCCTGATGGAGCCTGACACCCACACCACTACTCACACCTCTGTGTATGCTTAACCTGTCTCTGATGTCAGGTGGATCTGGGGCCCTTGGCAAGATATTTAGTTTATTTGAACCTCAATTTAATCATCTGTAAATGGGAATAATAGTATTTCTTATGGCTGCTGTGAAGATAAAATGAGTTCCTATAGCAGAGCAAATAGCTCCTAACACTTTCTGATAAAAATTAATTTGTATCATTATCCTTTACTCTATCTTCAGGACGCCCTTGACACTTACTAGTTAAAAACCATCTGCTAAGCATTTCCTATGCTAGATTCAGTTCAGTTCAAGAAATATTGACTGAAAGTTCCAGGCTGTAGGAATGCAAAGATGAAATCCCTTTAGACTTTGCTGTCAAACCCAGGATAGTCTAGCATGGAAGTTAGACATATAATCACATGTCTGCTCTTATAAGAGAGTCCTCTGACTTTCTCAAATTTTGAACCAAATGAAAATAAATTAATAACACCTAGTAAATATTAGAATGTCCCCCAAATAACATCCTTTACAGTTGTGGGAGATGTCAAATCAAATTTCCTATAAAAAGGTCAGGTACAGTGGCTCACACCTATAATCCCAGTATTTTGGGAGGCCAAAGTAGGAGGATTGCTCTAGTCCTGGAGTTTGAAACAAGCCTGGGCAACATAGCAAGACCCCATCTTTACACACCAACACACACACACACCATACGCACATATACACACACAATTAAAACATTAGCCAGGCATGGTGGACCTCACCTGTAGTACCAGAGACTTGGGAGCCTGAGACAAGAGGATCACTTAATTCCAGGAGTCTGAGGCTGCAGTGAGCCTCACGGTTGAGCCACTATACTTCAACCTGCATGACACAGCACTACCTTGTCCCAACAACAGTAAAATATCCCATGAAGAATTCTGATTATGCTGAAATGAAAAACAGAGCCTAGCCTGGCAAATCCCTACAGATGTGCTAGGTAGGCTTCATGCCTCTTCCATCAAGGCTGTCTTTTTTCTTTTTTTTTCTTTTTTTGAGATAGATCTCACTTTGCCACCCTTGGTAGAGTGCTGTGGTGAGCTCACAGCAACCTCAAATTCTTGGCCTCCTGAGTAGCTGGGACTACAGGTGCCCATCATAACACCCAGCTGTTTTTAGAAACTGGGTCTCACTCTTGCTCAGGCTGGTCTAGAACTCATTTGCTCAGGCAACAAGCCCAACTATTAGGGCTGTCTTAGAACTTGGCCTTAGATTCTCCTGGAGAATTCCAAGAAAGGGGGATAGAAAGGATTCCTTTGCTGGGCATGGTGACTCACGCCTGTAATCCCAGCACTCTAGGAGGCTGAGGCAGGTAGATTGCCTAAGCAAACGAGTTCTAGACCAGCCTGAGCAAGAGTGAGCCTCCATTTCTACTACAAATAGAAAAAGTAGCTGGGCATAGTGGTACACGCCTGTAGTCCCAGCTACTCAGGAGTCTGAGGCAAGAGGATTACTTAAGCCCAAGTGTTTGAGGTTGCTGTGAGCTATGATGACACCACAGCACTCTACACCAGGGTGATAGAGTGATACTCTGTCTCAAAATATAATAAATAAATAAACATTAAAAAAAAAAAAGAAAAGATGCTTTGTTCTCACTGTGTATTTTCAGACAAAATGATAACTAATGAGTGTGATCAGTCTAGGGGAAACGATTTCTATGGCTCAATTTTTTAGCACCAGTAGAAAATAATTTTCCCTACCAAATATCCAGAGTATATGGATATTTGCCAGTATTTACATGAGGTGCTGGGAACAAAGAACAATTAACAAATTTTTAGGTAATTATTGAGCCATGCTTACTAACTCTGCTCTGGACTGGATTCCAAAAAGGATAAAAATTATCCTAGTGCTCAAGGAACTTACAATAAATCATAACTGAATAACGTTATCAAGATGGCCCGTGATGTTTGCAGAACATGTCTGGAGATGACGCTCGAATGGTGCTTACAGCTCGGGATTTACTTTATGGCGTCCCTGAACGGCAACCGAGGTAGCAGACGCTGCTGTGCTTCTATTCGTTCCATAACTCCTTGGATACCGAAGATATCTGGCCACTCGACTGGAGCTTTCTTTGTACACACACCCCCCCCCCCATTCAGTGCTGCTTTCTCTCACGGGAGAGACTTGGATGGGATATGAAAGTATAAATCTCAAAGAGTAAAACCATTTAATCACTTACTCAGAAATTTATTTTCAGTAACAAGTCCTCCCTGGTTCGAATCATAGATGATTAAAAAAAAAAAAAAACTTGTAAGAAAATGAAACCTTGAGTTCTCGTCTAGTATGACTCTTTCTTTCATTGTGGTCTAATTACTGTCAGGGCTGTGGGTATACAGTATGATCACTGAGGAAGGAATGATACAGGAATCACCAGGGTGAATGCCAAAACTCTTCTCTGTGGTGTTAAAAGAAATGGCCACTTCATAAAGTTATTAAGGGCTACACACACACTACTAGGGTCAGAAGCAGGAGGAAGGGGGATCCTACCTCTACTCCAATTGCCCTCCTAATGAAGAAAGTATGGAATTTTTACATGATATGATCACTGGGATAAAAACCTCTCGATTTGGTTTAATGCCCACGTGTATGGTGTAATGTGTCTTCATATTGAAACACTCAAACGGTTGTATTTTCTGGTTGGTAGAATAATAGAGAAATTCTGTTATGGTGTGGTCTTAAGCTATTTAAATTGTTTAATACTCTATCATCCAGTTCTTGTATGTGTGTGTGCGTGCCATAGAGCTGACAGAAACATGAGTGAACAGCTGGTCACAGCTGTACCATAAAGTCATTCATTCTGGGATTTTTCTCCCATGTCAGCAGTCCAGAAATATAGCCTCCATCAGAAATATTTATATTATGAACTTATTTAGAACATTGGCTTGGATAAGGGGAGTAGACACGTGTACAATCATTGAAGCTATCCATAGGCATTTGAGATGACAGCTTGTACCTTTGAGAAATGTGAGAGTCACCTGGTCTCTCTATTACCTGCCAAAGGCATTGGGGGGGGGAGGGGGCTAGAAAACCTTCCTTTAAACATTCTCCTTTCTCTTTCAAACTCCCTCTGTGGTCAGAGGATGGCCACTGACCATGCTGCTAAATGGCTCAGTGGCAAATTAGTAGACATATCTACCCCCCCACCAAATTAAAGTGTTTACAGTAATGCTGAGTTCCAAGTTCCTCTTTATGAAACATGGGCCCATCCACCTTGTGTCTATTCTTCAATTCCTATTTTCATTCACATCCCCCACCCCCCAGACCTCACTTACAGACACAGTGTGACTCTCACACAATCATCACTCCCTCTGTCTATCTGTGGGTCACTGAAGTAATGTCTCCCTTCACAACGGATCACCTTCACAGGGAAGTTTTTACAAGTCCATGCTACTCAGAGGCACACCCTTTCTGCTCTCAAGTTCCTTAGGAAATGGCCTGAAATGCCAGCATGACAGCATGCTTCCATCTCCCCAGGAATGTGCAGACCTCGCCTGCATCTGTCCGTTAGGCTAGCTCGGTATCTCTGGGCATTTGTGCAGTTGTTCTGAAGGCTTGAGGTGTTTATCTCCCACAGGCAGCTGAGCTGCCTCCCGTTTCATGAGCAGAGCAGTGGAATGCAGTGGAAGAGACCCAGGCCTCCGGCCACCCAGATTAGAGAGTTTTGTGCTGAGGTCCCTATATGGCTGTGTTAGACTGAAGGACCGGCTGAAGTCTGTGTTTGTTCCTTGTTTGGGAAGCGAGTGGGAGGGGAGCGGGCTAAGGGGCTATATAACCCTTCTGTCTTCGGCTTCCCTGAACACCACCCAGCTGGAGAAGCCCGGCCAAGCACTGTCAGGGTAAGTGGCACCAGCCCAGGGATGTGACTTATAGATTTAAGTGGCTCTTTTATTACCCAGTATAATGAGATGCTGTCTGCAGAGATTTGGCTGGATTCATGCACAGATATTTTTGAATGAAGATGGTTGTACTAAAATGATTGTAGCTTTTGGCTGTAATGATCTAATATTAAAGACAAGATTAATAGGTTGCTTGGTGTGGTGGAAGAGGTGGAGAAAAAGATAGGATGAAATTTTATTCATGCTTGCCACCTGTGAAATCAGTTTACACAGCTGCTAGGACCTTGCAGAACCTGACAGGTCTGCACATGAGCTGTTTTCAGTAAGTTATACATACGTATTTAGGCAAGAGAAACTCTGAGATTTGCTCGTGGTTCAGATTCAGCACAGATTTTTCACTGGACTGTACTTTTGGTTTCGCTAAGGTGCCTGAAAGTGGATTTTGGAAGTGAACAGAGGATAGTTGCCTAGTCCCTGATTTGGGCTGAATTTGTGTCTTTGCTTCTGGACTGCCCTGGCTCCAGTTGCTAGTGTCTTATGTTGGAAATCTCTATCTGGTCAGTGTAACTGCAAATTTAAGTCTCAGGATCTGCATCAGTGATCCCTTGCAGCAGAGCACAGCAGGTGACCAGCTGAAGCATTCTTTGCAAAGCTGAAGGGAGCAGCGCTTACATCTGACAGCTGTGTGTCTCTGCCATGGGACATCTGGTTTGCATTTCTTTCAGCTTAAGTTCCTCTCAGCCTGTTGAGGCGAGCGTGACTATAACGCCAGCCCTGCCATCCCCATCCCCGGATGAACTTCGCTTGCAAATCAGGGCTTGGCAGCTTCTGCAGGACTGGAGTTTTCATGCGGAGATTTTCCTTGCATTTTGTAATTCATGACTAAATATGGTTTGCATTTCCAGACCAATGAGCTGGGAACTGTAACGTTCTCTCCCCCTCCCCTCCCGCTAACGACTCATTTTTGGCACAGATGCACGCTCTGGTCTGTTGGAGCAAACCCCCTGACCCGGGTGCAGTTCCAAAAGCAGCCGTTCCAGCGTGTTTTACCTAATTAGGAAATGCTTTGCTCCAAACTGAGCTGCTCATTCAGGTTCGATAAGAGTTCTAAACTCCCCAGCCGGCTCTTTTGCGGGGCACAAAGGCATCTTCTTTATGGCAGTACTCCTTTTAGAGATTATAAAACTCTTCCTGGGCATTTTTTGTCAAATAAAAATACATTTACTGAATTTTGAGAAATTTGCATTCTGCTGATGCTTGGGGCCAGGCAACTTTCACTGAGTATATTCAAATACTCTTCCCAAACCATCACTGCCCAAGAAAAAGGTTGTTAAAGGACATCCCTATGTTTGTGGTGACTGTACCTTCTTCTTCTCAGACCATCCTGAGTCTCAGTGTTTTACCCTGTTTTCAGCCCTTACTTTTGCTTTTTCAAGGGTGCATGGCACAGCCTCAGAGATCCTGCTGACTCCTTGGTCCTGGCCGCCTCTGACAGACACGGTGGCCTCTTAGAGCTGCTTCTACCTTGTCTCTTTTCTAAAGCTGCATAGTCTGCTGGAAAGGAAGCCAAATCACAGGAATGCCAAACATAATTCAGTGTCTGGGGAAGCAAAGGATGAGCCATTTATAAATTCCATTCTTGCAAGTGAAATTCACATGTTGAAAGTTTTCATTCCTAAGCCTTTGGCAATGTGGAAAGAAAGCAAAGATTAGAAATAGAAAGATAAGAATAATGATAATAATCATAGAATGATATGAATCATAATGACGATAAAACTTCTATTAAGGATTTATACAGGGTGTCCCCAAAGTCACCATACATAGGGAAAATGGGAAATTGTATGTAATTTGTAAAGGTAACTTTATTTACAAAATATTCACTGTCAAATTTTACAAGATATTTACAAAATATTCTCTAAATGTTGTCCACTTCTTTGTAAAATTTTATGATGAATATTTGTATATATTATATAGCTACAATTTTCCATTTTCCCTGTGCATGGAAACTTTTAGGAGACTCTGTAGCCTGCAACTGTAAATTATTTAGGAAGCATTTTTAAAGAAATTGAATCTCTATAATCACTGCACAAGTAACGTACCATCCTGATTGCTGTTTGACATTTATGGAAATTGTGGTGTAGAGGTATTAAATGACTTATCACATCACACAGCTTCCAAGTGGTAGAGCCCTGACTCAAATGTATGTAGACACATTCCAGAGTCCAACCTTGGAATCACTGTAGTCTTATAATTTCCATTGTCCTGAAGCTTATCAGCTCAAGGATCTTGGACAAGTCACTCCAACTCCTCAAGTCTCGATTTCCTTGCTTATCGGTTGGAGATAATATTGACATGCTCTGATTTTAAAATGTATCATCTCAACTGAATTTTATAATCTCTGAAAGGATCATGCTACCTGAAGCACTTCTGTGGAAATTATGGGTATTTAGAAAGGAGCAGCTTTGATTGTGTGAGAACAGTATGGCTGAACTCCAATGATAATAGCTATTTTCTTTTCCTACTTCCTAGAAGTTTTCTTGGAAGCTAGATTTGGATGTGCAATCAATTTAAAAGATGGTGAACCTCAACTTGAAACCCTAATTGAGATCTCAGTGCCAGGCAGAGACCTCTGCCTGGGTGTCTTTCCCTTTCCAGAGCACTGCCACCTAATTCTGCTCAGAAAAATGGAGGAGATTCTGAACCGAAAGCCAAGGAGTAGTCCAGGGGTATCCAAGGGGCACCCCATCTCTGCTTAGTGCTCCGTCCCTGGCACCCTGCATGCCCTCAAACACATCACTTCCTCTGGGTTTTCTTATTTGTGAGAATGAGAGCATTGGATGAAAAGGTCTTCTAATAGGCCTTTAATTTCCAAAATTTGTAAGTGGCTATTTCTGCTCTAGCCAATTTTGTCAAAGGATTCATGCTTAAAAGTGAGTTATTTAAAATTATGTTTTATTACTAAAAACATATATGTTTATTTTAGAACATTTTAAAAAATTACAGAACCCAGAGAAGATAAATAAAAACACTTACACAACCAACCACCTCAAAATAACCCTAGTCAATGTCTTGCTAAATAGGATTAATCTCTTGCAATACAAAAAATATATGTTTAATGGGAGAGTACAATGTTACTGTCTCTAACCTATTATGCTTACATAAGAACATAGCTTATCCTTTATCTCATCCTTCTTAATGGCAGAAAAGTATTCTATTACATGATGTGTAATTCATCAGACTCACCATCACTGGTTGCATTTTTAGTTTAACAGTGATTTTTGTTAATGGAGGATAATCACGACCCCTAAAATTTAAAGCACCTTCTTAGGAATTTTTTCATTTTAATTTTTCTCTGAAGGTAAAATGAAGTCTTCCAGATCCAAAAAATGTTTTTATCTTTAAAATTCACATTAAACACATCGACATTTTTAAATTTCTAAATTTTCATAGGCTGCCCCTCCCTTGAAAATATGTCTTTTCGGAAAAAAAAAAAATGCAAAATGCCTATAGCCTATCCAGAAAAACTTGTGTGTGGGTTGATACAGACAAGAAACCCTAGATATTTTGTTAACATGTAGAAGCGACTCAGCCTTGAGAAGGTTTGGTCTCCAAGTCTCAAATTTCTGTCTGTGCTCTTCAGTTCTTCATTCTGTCACTGGGTTGGCCCATTATTAAAGTGATCATGAGAATATGAGATGCACCAGTCACTGTGCTAAGGGCCGGTTGTATAAACATGGGAGGCGGAGTTTCAGCTTATCAGAAGGTTATAGTCTAATTAAGGAACTTCGAGTGCTAGGAGAACAGAGGAAACCCCCAAGCCCAGCCTGGAGGTGAGAGTGGTCAGGTAAGGGCCTCGCCTGCTCACCTGCCGCGGGGCTGCTTCCCCCTGTCTTCCACAGAACCGTGTAAAGCAGCTCCACCATGTGTGAAGAAGAGGACAGCACTGCCTTGGTGTGTGACAACGGCTCTGGGCTCTGTAAGGCCGGCTTTGCTGGGGATGATGCTCCCAGGGCTGTTTTCCCATCCATCGTGGGACGTCCCAGACATCAGGTGAGCAAAATTCTGATTGGAACAGAGAGAGAACCGGGCTACAGATTAGGTCGCTTCGTGTCCATGTGTAGTCACAGATTGCTTATCACTCTCTGACCAGAAGGTGGGTAACTGTTAAAAATATGCCTTTGGCGATTGATGTCCAAGAGTAAATGCCAGTTTCATATAGAATGTAGACAGATTATCTGGTGGCTGTCTATCAGATGTAAGGTCTGCCCCCTTTCCAAGTGTGCTTGTCAAACTACAGTCATCATCATCACTGTCACATAATCATCATCAGAAATAGCTAAAAGTGCTGGGCATGGTGGCTCAGGCCTGTAATCTTAGCACTTTGTGAGGCTGAGGCTGCTGGATTGCTTGAGCTCAGCAGTTTGAGGACAGGGTGAGCAGAGTGAGAGCTTGTCACTAGTAAATATAGAAAAACTAGCCTGGCATTGTGGTGGGCACCTATAGTCCCAGGTACTTGGAAGGCTGAAGTAAGAGGGTCACTTGAGCCCAAGAGTTTGAGGTTGCTGTGAGCTAGGATGCCACAGCACTGTCCCCAGGGCGACTGAGTAAGACTGTCTCAAAACAACAAAACAAAACAAAGTTAAAAGTTATCCTTATGTATACCATAGCCACTCTTTGGGAAGAAACTAAAATAAAAGCCCAGGTCACTCAACTTCATGGAGTTTGGTGTTAGATGAAAGCAAGCCTTGAGACCAAATGAAATTCTACATAACGTCAGTCATCAACAAAATATACTTGAATAGCCACATGGTAATTTTACATACTGTGTATAAGCAGAATATTGGTGGCAGCTACGTGGTAAAAATCTTTTCCACATCAGACATGCATTTTGCACACTGAGGTTATCTGATGGATGTTTCCGGCTCTCAGCTTGGCGTCTATGCATGAGAATAAGACATAGAAGTCTCGAGCAATGAATGAAGCTTGTGTGTTGAACTTGGTGCAGTGAAGATAATTCTGCACGAACCACTATTTTATGGATCCGTAGGAGCTATGAGTGTTTTGCACTTCTAAAATAATCAGTCCAATGCAATTTAAAATCTAATAATAGGGAATTTTTTAACCTTCAACAAAATGATTTTTTAAAATGCAGCTGCTTGGTTTAGGCAAATGTCTTAAAACTTGATTAGTATGGGTTTATCCATCAGAAATCAAGCATCCAGTGCTTATTTGTAGACGTAATGCTTTTGCTAATAATGATTAAAAATATAAAAATAGTATTCATGTACTTTTGGGTATGTGGCAACTTTAAAAATATGGTTTAAAGGACTTATAAGAGGTACAGTTTCATCTAACTAATATATAAAATTTGATATATGCTTATGACAAATGATTACTGAGTGCTAAGATCTGGGCCAGGCAATTTGTTATAGTGGTGAATAAGACAGAGCCGATCTCTGCCCTAAGAGAGCAGAGGAAGGAATAGATAGAAGATAAAAATTTACAATACAATGTCGAGTTGCCTTTCCCACAGTGTTGCTTATTATTTGGAGGCTGATTCAGTTCTGTTTCCAGTCAACGATGGGATGTTACTTAAAAGCATAATGACAGTAAGACTCCTATTATTGTTGGTGCCAAAAGAGGAACTTGCCACTCAGTGATGTAACCTTCTGTGCTTTGATTGTAATCATTCTCAAGTTTTGGGAGAGTTTGACTCAGACTGCACTGAATCTTTTTTAGGGGGTGATGGTGGGAATGGGACAAAAAGACAGCTACGTGGGTGATGAGGCACAGAGCAAAAGAGGAATCCTGACGCTGAAGTACCCCATAGAGCACGGCATCATCACCAACTGGGACGACATGGAGAAGGTAGGGGAGCTGGCCGCAGCGGCAGCCCTCGGTGCACAATCCCCACAGCTGCTGAGCTCAAATTGCTGGGGGAAAGAGCTGGCTAGCATTGCTCAAGTGCTCTTTCATTTGTGCATGTTTGTTCTGGGTTGTTACTCACTGAAAAAAAAAATCCTGAAATATTCCCTTGAAAAAAAAACCCTCTTGCCTACTAGGATTCATAAACTGATTAAAGGGAGACAATCCTATAGATCGGAACAATGGCCCTTTGCCAGGGCTGGGAATTAATGGTCTCTGTTGATCATGTCCACTGGATCGCCCTCTAGGACCAGCACTGGGCGAGCAGGGTCATGGAGAATAAGCCTTCCTTTAATTTTCATCAGAGTCTGCATGTCTATTCCTCTCTGCACAACAGGGCTAAAGAGAAGTTGAAAACCTGGGAATAGCCTTAACTAGCCCATTCTTGAAAACTGTTCACCAACTCATTTTGAATATCTTAAAGAAAGGTTTTTAAATTTTTCACCATAGAAAAGAGGACTAGTCCATTCTAGATTTAGCACAGTTCTGAATGCCTGTCAACATACTGACTGGGTATGGTGGCTCATGCCTGCAATCCCTGCACTTTGGGGGGGCCAAGGTAGGAGACAGGAGTTCTAGACTAGCCTGGGCAACATAGAGAGACCCTATTTCTACAAAAAGTAATTTTAAAAAATAGGTAGGCATCATGGCACACACATCTAGTTCTAGCTACTCACAAGGCTGAGGTAGAAAGACTGCTTGAACCCAGAGTTCAAGGTTATCATGAGCTATGATGGTGCCACTGCATTCCAGCCTGTGTAATAGAGTGAGACCCTGTCTCTAAAAATACATTTTGCAAAATATTGAAGCATAATAACCATTCTCAAAAATTTTTAAATAAATAATTTTAAATCATTCTTCTCTGTTGCACTAAGAACTTATCTTTCAGGTACATTTAGAGCTAACAAGAACAGGATTTAATCTTAGGATTTAATCCTAAGATTTTGATATTTGCTATTAGGTATTTTAGAGACACCAATGATCAAGGAAAAACTGCAAGAATTATGAGAAAGTGACAAAAAAATTTTAAATGCAGCAAGATGTATTAGAACCAAAACATCTGGCCTTTCATTTATAAACTCATCACATACACACATATATGTATTAGTTAAAAGAAAAACATATACTATTGCTAGAATGTATCAGTAGTAATGCTTAAACTCTATCTCTCTACAAAAATTGCTTATCATTAGGTTTGCTTAATCTAAGATTCTAGATTTGGTGAGACTAAAGTTTGCTGGGAGAGGAAGACATTCATATCAGTGGAAAAATAGTTTCTCCATGGAGCTGACAGCATTTCATCAACAGAATTGCTGTTGCTTGTTGCTCCCAGCAAGAGATTATTAGTATAAAAGAATCCTTATTGTGGCCGGGTGTAGTGGCTCACTTCTGTAATCCAGCACTCTGGTTGGCTGAGGCGGGCAGATCACCTGAGCTCACAAGTTCAAGACCAGCCTGAGCTAGAGCAAGACCCCATCTCTAAAAATAGCTGGACGTTGTGGCGGATGCCTATAGTCCCACCTACTTGGGAGGCTGAAGTGAGAGAATTGCTTGAGCCCAAGAGTTTGAGGTTGCTGTGAGCTATGACTCCGTGGCATGCTACCGAAGGTGATAAAAAAAAAAATCCTCATTTCTAAAACTTAAATTTAAAGTAGCTTCTCCGGGAGGAGGAGGGAGAGTGAGAGAGAGAGGCTGGCTGTTATGACTGGCGGGCTTTCTTGAACACTCTGCTGCTTTTACTCCATCAAAGGAACAGAAATTTCAGGAGTATCATTTCCTTTCTAAAAACCACAAATTCAAAACCAAAGGAACTGGGACAAGATAGGATCTTTCAAGTGGCCTTTGTTAACTTATAAATTAATCAGCAGTTTTTACCAGCAGTTCTTGTTTTGTTTCGTTTTAATTCTGGGTGAATCTATATTCCTGGTACTGGCAGAGAATGTTCATGCTCTTAAAGATTAATTAATTTACACCTTTCACAATCATTTGTTCTTTTTGGTATTCAGGAAGTAAAGAGGGTGCTCTGCCTTAAAATGAATGTACCATGTTCAAAGTACACTCACACCAACACTCCACCCACAACCACGGGCTTCTTTGGAAACAGAGGAAGTCTAAATTGGTGACCCTGAATGGAAGGTCCAGTCTGTGCCAACAGAGAAAGCTTCTCCCAGTCCTAGAGTGCAGAGGGGGTGGTGGGTACGAGAGGCAGGGAGTCCTGTTCTCTTCTCCACGTACACTGCAAAGGGCAATTTCTCTAGAAGCGTTAATAGTGGCAGGCGGGTTTTGAGATCAGCCCCATTTATTCACATACGCATTCATTTGTCCTTTTACTTATGAAATGAAATCATTTCCCATGAACATGAACTAAAATGGAAAGAGGAAGCAATGAAGATATCGTTGAATAACAGTGACATTGACTCTGGGCCAGCAGCTGGGTTGAATATGTAGGACTCTAGGATCCTCTTATTTAATTTGTACAAAGACCCAGTGGGGTACATACTAATTCTTTTCATCCACCTATTACCAGGCTGGAGCTGAGAAGGGTTAAATAGTTGCCTAAGCTCACAGAGCTGAGAAGTGGAGTTTGAATGCAGAGCTCCTAACCACTACACATCCTGTCTGAAGGACCTGGGTACTCCCTCTATTTGAGCTTCTGCATCTGTCAAACTCTGGGCACATCATGAGTGCTTGTCATTTTTCCCTTGGACTCAGTCTCAGTCAGCTCATCCCTGTCCCTTTTTGAGATCTGCAGTGCCCACAACCACATGCCATTGTCTTTCTCCTCTGTCTCCCCCCTCGCTAGATCTGGCACCACTCTTTCTACAATGAGCTTCGTGTTGCCCCAGAAGAGCATCCGACCCTGCTCACTGAGGCACCCCTGAACCCCAAGGCCAACCGAGAGAAAATGACCCAGGTAAAGATCCACCCTGCACCCAGCCCTTTGGGGTTTGGAGAAAGTCCTGTTAGTAAGGGCTAATGCAGGACAGCAGAGAGAAGGCCCGAGCCAGCAGGACATCAACAGACGTGGCAACCTCCTTCCTGCAGGATCCAGCCCTGTGTCTCCAGGAACAATAGGAAATTTAAAAGATTTCATTGAAAAGGGGACATGTTAGGTTAAAAATGTCTAAGGCACCATTTCAAAAGGCAATAGAACGTGCAGTAGGATTTGGGTTCTGGAGTCAGACAAAAAACTGGATCTATTACTTATCAGTTAGGCGACCTTAAAAAACTCAGTTTAGTTGTCTGTGAAAACTCAGTTTAGTTGCCTGTACGTTGGGAACATTATTAGTACTATTTTCAAAGGATTGAATGTTATATCATGAAGATTAAGGTGGCAAAATAATAAATATGTATCATGATGCCCTAATAAACATCCAACAAAAAATGTTATTATTATCATTATTGTCACTTATCTGAAGTTCAACACCTTACAGGAAAATACCATCCAGTCTACCAGGCAGAAGATATTTTTAGTTTAAAAGAACTATTAAATAATAACATCTAATATCAGTTCCCCACTTGCTATGGTCAAGCACTGGGATCAGTATTTTATACACATTGTCTCTTTAAATCCTAACATTGTGAAACAGGAACTATTATTATCCTGATTATACAAATCCAGAAATAAAGCTCAGATACAGTAAGTGATTTTCCCAAGGTCACACAGCAAGAAATGGCAGAGGCTGAAATTAGCCCCTGGTCTTTCAGCTATGGAGAATTATAAATGTAAACAATTGCAGGGCCTTTCCCTTAGAGGAGGTTTTGGTGATTACACCCACATAGTTATTAGCAGGGGAACCCCTGTCTGCCTGGGGACCACTTCACAGAGCAAGAGCTATTGTTTCTCATGACAGTTATAGCTCCTGTGAATGGCATGAAGGCAGAAGAATGAGTGAGAACTATGGCTCTAGAGCAAATGATGTCAGACATTCTGGTTAATGGACAAGGACCTTGCAGATGGAGAAATAAAGGCCCCAGGACATCTCCTGATGTACAGACTTCTCATGAGTGACCTGAAGGGACTCTGGCTCTCTTCCTGTCCCTGGACTATATGAGCTGGGGCAACAACACTCATACATGGTCCTCTGTTATGACCTGGCAGCTCCTGCCTTCGAGGAATCAGGGCCCCTCCTACCGCAGCCAGAGGGGCCTCAGGTCCTAGGGCTACACTGACCCAACAGCAACAAAAAAAGTAGAACAGATTAAACAGAACCCCAGACAAAACATAGAACTGGGGCTAATCCCAAGCAATCTGAGCCTTAGGCTTAAAATGTCCCTTTCTTTATCCCAGAGAAATCAAAACATGGATGTTGTCTTCTTTTTTGGCTTTGATGTAGTTAATAAGTCTTGGGCTGTCTACACTGGAAGAGCCTAAGAGCTCATCTAGTTTGAAGTCCTCCCCTGCTATAGTTGAGAGACCTGGAATGACGTTCCCATGAGTCAATTATCAGTTTGGAGAAGTCTCCCAGGTCACTTTCAAGTCAGGGCCGGGGCCTCCTCCTCCCCTCCCCATCCATCCAGCCACCCAGGTGATGATCTGTCCATTCACACCTGCAATTCTCCTCTTAAGTGACCAGGGCTGCCTTGACCCTCCTTCACCTTGGTCCCCTCTGTCCAGAGCCAGGCAGGCCCATCTGCATTCGTCAAGAAGGTGTGCTCTCTTGAATGTTCTTTGTCAGCTAGGCACCGACCCTAACTCAGCTCTTTGGATTGCTTTGCAGATCATGTTTGAGACTTTCAATGTCCCAGCCATGTATGTGGCTATTCAGGCAGTGCTATCCCTCTATGCCTCTGGACGTACAACTGGTATGTGTCTGGGATGGTTGGGGGCGGGTGGGGGGTGGCTGACTGCACCACCAGTGATGGGATTTGCTGGTCATATGCACAAGGGGGTGACAGATGGGGGGGGAGAGTGAGTTAGAATCGACAGGGCCGTTCTCAGCCCTAAAATCAGCCCTTGTCCTCCCATTTCTAGCAGGACTTTTTCTACCGCTTCCCTCTTCCTGCCCCTCCCTCTTTCATCTTCCCCTGCCCTCTCCCACCTCACCTCTCCTAGCGAATGCCCTCTTTCCTCCTATCCCTAAAGAGGCTTGGCAGCCCCTCCCCAAGGCTTCCTTCTGCTTGAACAGCAAGTGACCACTCAGCATTTGCTGTGGTGACTTCTGTCATGCCCAACTGTCCCCCAGGCATCGTGCTGGACTCTGGGGATGGCGTCACCCACAACGTGCCCATCTATGAGGGCTACGCCCTGCCCCACGCCATCATGCGCCTGGACCTGGCTGGCCGAGACCTCACTGACTACCTCATGAAGATTCTGACTGAGCGTGGTTATTCCTTCGTGACTACTGGTGAGGCCTGGGGAGATACGGGGGCAGGACATGGGGTGTGTGCTGCTCACGGTAGCATCCGGAACACAGTCACTCTCCCAGGAGACGATGGGATGAAGACGTGCAAATAGCTAGGCCTGAATGATGACGGAGCAAAGCACAGCCTGTTTTGCTATGTGAGACTGCAGAATGATTATGCTGTTTCCTGGAGGAGAATAGTTACAGCCACCTACTGTTATGAGCCGGTCAGAGTTGCATTACTTGAACATTTTTAAGTCCCTTCCCATTAAAAAAAATTTTTAAAAGATTAGGTAGGGACTAAAAATGGCATGATGTGGTGATTGGTGACCACGGGAGACATCTAGACAGGACTTGGGTCCCAACTCTGCCACTTACTAGCTTTGTGACCTTTGAACAATTTAGCCAACCCGCTATGCTACAATATCTTTATTTGTAAAATATTAATAGACCCTATATCACATGATTGTTATGAGTATTAAATTATAATGTGTGTGGCGTGCCTGCTGCAGAGGAAGCATTCAATAACGTTAGCTGTTTTTTTGCCAGCACAGTGGACAGGAACACGTGTACAGGCGTCTTTCAGTCTCAGCTGGTGCACCACATTTTGCTCCACAAGAGGGCAGTGTCGGGCACCGCCAGAAGCATTGGATGTCCTGGGCTCCTTGTGGCTCCAGCCTGCCTTTGCCCAGTTGGAATTGTCCAGATTTTTAGATTTCTGGACATGCCTGAGGCTTATTTCTAGGCTCTGAATTTAAGCCCTGATGATGTTTAAGTCTCCATTTGCAACATGGAGTTGAACTGCTTTCCTCCTCCGCTTCCCACAAAGAATCCCAACATGCCTCCAAACGATCGCAGGGGCTCAGTTGTAAGCAGTAGCCCAGAGCTTCAGAGAGCAGAAGTCTGGAAGGCACAAGGCTAGCTACTGCTTCCATATCACCTTCACTGTGCACCGCTAGAGCCTTCTGGACTAGGTCTGGTCTTCAGCAGGCACTACCTCTTTCTGGAGGGTGTTAAATGGGCAAAGGGTATGAGCTGCACTGTACCTGGGCCAGGCAACATGATTTCTGAGGCTTTTTGGAAACTGGGAAGGCCCCAGAGAGCTGACTCAGTCCTGAAAATGCAATAGAACAAATAGAGGGTGATTAGTTACCCTAAAAAAGTTATGGCACAAAAGGATCCTGACTCTGCACTTTCTCTAGCCAGCTCATTTTGTTCCTGTTCTGGATTTTCCAGACTACATAGACTGCGGTCTATGATGTGTGAGGCTCTCAACTCGGAGGAGAGGTGGTTCTCTGGCAGTCCTACAGCGTTACTATCAGCTTGGAGTTTGGACTGCAGACTACTGACCTGACAGTCTTTTCTGAGAACGTGTATTGAGGGAGAGACTGAAGTAGGCAGGTAGATCTTCACGACGGCACAGACCCTGATGCTTGCCATGTTTGTATCTGACAGCTGAGCGGGAGATTGTCCGGGACATCAAGGAGAAACTCTGCTACGTAGCTCTGGATTTTGAAAACGAGATGGCCACTGCTGCATCCTCCTCCTCCCTGGAGAAGAGCTATGAGCTTCCTGACGGGCAGGTGATCACCATTGGCAACGAACGCTTCCGCTGCCCCGAGACCCTGTTCCAGCCGTCCTTCATCGGTAGGCAGCAGACCCCCCTTTCCTGAGAAGGGGAGTCACCTTATTCTTCCGTATCCGATCAGCCTTGGCTACCAAGGCCCTTCTGACAAATGACAGGATCCCTAAGACCAAAACATTTCCAAACTAGGGGCAGGGAAAGCATTACAGTTTCAAGGTGAGAAGAGGTGAGCAAGCTGGGAAAAACACTATGTTGCAGTCAAGCCAAGAAAGCGTTCTTGGTGTATGGTGAGAGCATGAAATACTGCCTGGGCTTAGGACACAGTGGAACCATAGGGTGTGCTGAATGCTGAGAATTGGGGAATGGTGGGTAGGGGCGACAAAAATGGGGGAACCCCCACAGTGAACCTGTCACTACATTAGGACGGAGACAGGTTTGCACAGTTGTTTACAGAGGCAGGAGCTGGGAGGGTGAGCCTGGGTTTAAGCCTTAGTTCTACTTGATCTTGGGAATGTCGCTTGGCCTCCCAAACCTCAGTCTCTGCATGTATAAATGAAGACTGTAATGGTCCTCACGATACAGGACGGCTGTGAGAATTGCATGAGACAAATACAGAGCATGTAGCCTAGTGCCTGGCGAAAATGAGCGTTCGGTAATCACTAGAAACTGTTAGGAATTAATGATAATTAGATCCTACTATTGTTAACTTTATTCTTATCTCACAGCACAGCAAAAAGTGAAGGACCACCTAGAGGTTTTCTTTTCAAAAGATCCACATCAGAAATTAACAAAAGATTTAGCCAAAAACACTTACCAAAATTGGAAAAAACAAGCCTTTTCTAAGTAGAACAAAACATTTTTCTGATGATTCAGCACCATTTGGCTTTCCTGGGAGAGAGGATGGGGGGCAGCAGCCAAAGAGGGACTTGGCAGAATTCTGAGGGGCTGCAGTCCTGGCTCAGTGTGGGAACACTTGCAGGGAATCTGAGGCTTCATCCATCGTTTAAAACAGTGAGTTTCAGAGCAGTGAGTCTATTACAAACAAATCAATGATGTTATGTTGGGAGCCCCACCCGGTGGATGCTGCCCCCTCCTCATTAGGTGGGAAGCGGAGGACAGGGATGATAACAAGGCCCTGTGGTCTCCCCGGCAGGTGGTTCCTACATTATTATGCCCACCCAGCCCCTGTCGGTGTAAGATCATCCAGATGCTCAAGTCTGGTCTTCCATGTCTAACGTGTTTATCTACCACCCAAGGACCATGGCCTGTGTCTCTTTTCCAGGGATGGAATCTGCTGGCATCCATGAAACCACCTACAACAGCATCATGAAGTGTGACATTGACATCAGGAAGGACCTCTATGCCAACAACGTCCTCTCAGGGGGCACTACCATGTACCCTGGCATTGCTGACCGGATGCAGAAGGAGATCACGGCCCTCGCGCCAAGCACCATGAAGATCAAGGTACTATTCAGGGACAGACCCGCTGGCAGTGCTCCCAACCACATGAGAAGGACTCTTCAAAGACCACATTGGGGTCACATTCACTTGGGGTTTCTATGGCTAGGCTATGGGCACAAATCCACAGTCCTATCCTTCACAGGATGTAAGTTGATCCAGTTCACACGAAAAAGTGAATAATTTCATACAAAATTTGATCTATATTTATCCTTAGCTCTCAGCTACTTTCAGCAGCTTCAGTCAAGGTCAGCAGAGCTCCCCATGTGCTCATATCTCTTCAAAATATACGCCCTTTTTTGTTCTTCATGGCAAAACAGTGTATCTCACATGAAGAACATATTTTAAAAATACAGCTGAGCTAAACTTATCTCTGAAGCAGTTTAAACACTATAGATACTGTAGCTTACAATTTCTTCCCCTACTAATGTGACCCGTCTCCGTGGCCAGGAGTTAGACTTCTACCTTCATCTCTGTCTGGCACACCTTTTGATGTAAGTGCTCAGAAGCACAGAATGACTCTAGGATAACCAAACTCAGTGCCTGAGCCACTCAGGGCCCCTATCTGGTGTGAGTTTTGCATCCCAGTCAAGGCAGAGCAGAGATCAAATGGAGATCATTCTTTAGAGGCAAACTTACATGTGGCTGGTGACTTCTCAAAGGCTCTTATCACTCTCTGAAGTCAGAAGGCCATGCTGGGAGCCTGTGACCTGTGTTGCAGGAAAAAGGCAGAGGTATGAATCTACTGCAGTTCACACGCAGGAAAAGCATTGAAACACATTCTCTGTTATGTATGTGCCCTTCTCCTTTTGTGGAAAGGGGATACAGCTAACATAACAGAGTGTGCCAGACTGAAACATGCTCGCTCTGTCTCCATGGTAGGCTCTCACAGTTCTGCCCTAAAAGGCTTCGGGATGAGAGGAGAGGGACAGTTTCCCAAAGGGTTTGTGCTTCTTGGCTTCCCGTCTGATCAGCTCTAGCTCCCTCTTACTCCACACGGGAGGAGCAGGACAAAGGCAGCTGCTGGGTTCCTATGGAGCCAGCTTAGTCCAGGGCATGTAACAGAGACAGGCTGTCGCCAGAGTTGGGCAGTTGCTAGTTCTCCGCACTTGGCTTCTTGAACAGAAATGGATGTGAAACTCTGGGCCCCAGTGTGGTGAGAGAGCGTAGAGCACCATGAAATACCTGGGACATGAGGGGAAGATGAAACTAGATGATGGGAACTTAGAGTTCTTTGCAACTTTTCTGAAAATGTAAAATTATCCCCAAATGAGAAGACTATTTTACAACTAAAACAAAACAAAATCCTAGGGGAACCTCCATTTGAGAATTGGGTCTGATATTGATTTAATCAGTGTGACCTGGGCCTACTTAAACCTGTGTCAGCCACAAGCAGGTAATAAAGGAGTAATTTAATATTTACTCTTCAAAGTGCTTATAGGAATTAAATGAGTTAATACACACACATAAAATGCTTGGCATAGTGTCTGATACATAGGAAGTGCTCGGTAGATGACAGCTCTTTGTATTAAGAAATAAACGCTCAATGAGAGCTTGGAGGATTAGCAGAAATCAAAGCCTTTAGCCACAGTTTTCACTGCTCTCTGTGCCTAAGCCATTCGTTTATTTAAGAAACACGAGGAGAAAACACCAGCGCAGGCAGCCTCAGAGGGCACTCCTGCAGGGGAAAGTTCACCCCCACAGGGGACGATGGGTCTCTCGGTGTTAAACAGGGCAGGTGGGCAGAATCTCAGAGAGCAGCAGGGCCCTCAATCAGGTGAAAGGAACACTTGCCTACTAAGTTCTGGCACCATTGAAACTTCTCCTTTGAAAACCCTGGCGTTAGTTCCTGCAGGAAGTGTGTGTCACGCTGACTTTTGAGGTAGAGCTTATGGAAGTCAGCGGCATTGTCATGGTTTTCAAGTGGAGGCCACAGCACGTTTTAGGGCCACCATTCTGTGTGTTCAATGACAGGGTAGGGGAGTTATGAATGCTTGGAATCGACTGCGCAGAGGAAGCCAGAGAAACAAGAGCGCCAGCTGGGGGATCTCTGCAGCCTTCTGCAGCCTTCTCCCACCCCTAGCATTAACAGCCAAGCGGCTCTGCTGAGTAGGAACCACAGGCGCGATGTGGACGTGGGCGGACACCCAGGTGCCCGCCTCCTGCACTAACGACCCTTCTTTCTCATCTTGGCTGACAGATCATTGCCCCTCCGGAGCGCAAGTACTCTGTCTGGATTGGCGGCTCCATCCTGGCCTCCCTGTCCACCTTCCAGCAGATGTGGATCAGCAAGCAGGAATACGACGAAGCCGGGCCTTCCATTGTGCACCGCAAATGCTTCTAAGGCACCTCCCTGCTCTCTGCCTCTATCACACAACTGTGAATGTTTTGTGGAATAATGCCTTCAATTCCTTTCCAAATCATTCCTAGCCAAATCTCTGCCTCGTTACCTATGTGTTTTTTAATAAATCTGAAATATGCTACTGGTAATTTCCAGCGTGTGCCTCTCTGATCAAGGCCCGGCTGATCGCCGGCTTTAGGGGGACCTCGCCTCTTGCAGGGTGGCTCCCTCTAGTGGTCAGGCTGAGAACACGGCATAATGAGGATGGATGTGTTACTCAGGCACAGGACAGAATCGCGACATTCATAAAGGGAAGTTCCACGTAAGTTCTGCAAACCGGAAGAATTTGAGAATACACGAGAAATTTGAAAATTAACATGGATTAAAGTGTGTTAATGGGATAATCCACACTGCTTCATAACTTGCAAAGTGATTACATTGCTTTCGCTTATAATCCCAGTATGTTGATAGCCTGATTGGTGAAAACAAAAATAACAATTATACATACACACACGTACACACAGGGACACATATAGAGACAATTATATCTCTTGAAAGTCATATATATTAAAAGTTGCACACACATATACACATTCCCCGTGTATATAGATACGTATATACATATATGTGTGTGACTTTTAATATACAAGGGATAACTTTAATATGTAAGATATTAAACATATATAGATATAGAGATATGCTATGCCTTTTAAATTTATTCTGGGAAACAGATTTTTCTCTTAAGCACAGAGAATTATTGCATTAAAATCTTACTACATATCTGTACCATCTGTACAGATGATTCATATCTGTCTTTGCAAAGGGTACTATGGATATATTCACCCCAGAAGGGATGGGGCAGTTTCCAAGGACTACAAGTACCAATCATCAAATTAAGGGGTATACACATGTTGCCCGTCATTTTTTCTTCAAAACCATTCAGGGAAAGTATTATCAGCTCACTTTATAAATGAGGAGGAGAGGTTACTCCAGAAATGCAATTTTATAGGGGAGCTACCAACTTCAACTATTCCATTGCCCATCTGGGCTTGCAGGTACAAAGATGTTTTAAAAAAATACCTTCCCTGCCTGTAAGGGTCCTGTAGTCATAGAGCTCTTCCACCCAGGCTGGTTAGCATGCTTGGTGGCCTCCAATGTGTAAATGTCCAAGGGGGTCAGTAGCCACTGGCTGTCCTGAGGAGTGTGCACTCTGTCTGTAGAAATACCTCACTATAGAAATCTTAGGGCCCAGGATTTAGCACTTGTTTGGTCCAGAAAACCTGAGCCTCCCTAGTGTTCTCTGGCCCTCTGACATGGTTAAGTCAGAAACTACAAATAATAAGAGCTGGCATGTCCGGGGTGCCTGCCGTGACCAGGCCCTGTACCAAGCTCTTTATGTTAGGATCTCATATTCTCCTACAATGGACCTAGAGATTTGTATTACTGACTTTTTATGGGTGGACGAGGTCGCAAGTGGTTATGGAGTATCACCCAATGGCACCCTGCCAGCAGAGGCTGTATCACCTTGCTGCTATTGGAGCTTAGTTCCAGCCTACGCTGTTAGTCATTAGGCCAGCATTTCTCAAAGAACAGGCCTCATCGGGAGTTCATTTTAAATGCACAGAGTCCTGGATCATAACCAATGCCTGCTGAACTAGAACCTCTGGAGCTGAGGCCAGGAAGCTGAGATTTAATCAGATTTCCCTGACGATTCTTATGCACATTAAAATTTGAGAACCACTGTAACACGATTGAGAGAAATTTTCCAGTTGCAAATTCATGCTTATCAGGCAAGGACACTCCACAGCCACTAGACTTAAACTTAAGGGTTAATGTATAAGTATTTGCCACCAGATCTTTTTCATATTGCACGCAAAAAATCACCAACCTTTGCTGGCTGCCGTCACAAAGGGGTTTGCTTTAAGTCAAACAGTTCTGTTGTACTTCCCATCTGCCACCAGAGGGCGCGAGCTTTCTGGTAAAGGAATGGGTGCTGGGAGCAGCCTCTCAAAGGAACAGGTTTGCCCAGAGGCAAAACTCAGGCAAAACACCCACCCAGTGTGCATTAGGGAAATGTTCTTTCCTTGTGAGCCACTTAGCCTCAATGCCTAAGCACCCTCCTCTCAGACACAGATCATTAATTCCTCCCCTGGGTTGAAAGAATGCCACTGACTTGAGTGGCCAGCTCACCCCAGGTGGCAGAGTCTCTTGGAGGAGCTTCACATGAATCTTCAATTTATCTCCAGAGGAGATGAAACCAGCAACATATAGATATGGCAGCCTTCTGAATCCTCTTCTCTCTTCTAATAATAGCAAATTAGACTCTGGAAGGAAGGGGGCACACCTTTCTTGTATGATGGCAATTTTCCCATGATGGGCCCTTCACAATGCCCAAGGATGACATAGGTTTCTAATGACATTAATTCACACAGGTAGCCTTTGCTGTGAGCAGATGCACTATTTACTGGCAAAAAAAAAAAATCTTTGTTGTCATCATGGTATCATTTGTGCACCCAGGAAACCCTCTTCCATAGAACTATCAACACAGAACAGTCTGGAGAAGAATCTCTGGTTGAAGTTGGAAGGGGGCTATCTGGGCCAACACACACTTACAGCCTGACTAGAAACTATTGCTGCAACTCAGTTTATTTAAAAATAGACACCAAAAAAAGAAGGGAATGGGACAGCCCTGAGATGTGGTTTTTCCATATCAGAGGAACATCTGGTTCATACTTAAGCCAGATGTTGAAGTACTGTTTATTCCTGGGAAAGCTGAGTCATTTCAAGTGATGTTTGAAGAGCACTGTAGTCTAGGATAGAGAGAAGCGTGACAGAAAGACAACAAGGCAAGGTTCTGCCTGGATGGAACTTAGAGATGGGAAAATGGGCATTAAACAAGAAGAGGGCCCAGTGTACAGATTACAGAAGAAGCGATGCATGAGGCATATCCCTTACAGCCCAGGGCGCTAACCTGAGCCAAGGAGAGGCTTCCTCCCTGGGAAGGTAGTGCGTAAGCAGAGACTAAAGAGTAAAAGTTGAGTAGGGAAGCAAAGCAGAGATGGGCAAGGTGGAGGGGCTGAGGTTGGGGAAGGGAAGCAGGGCACACATGGGGCGTGTTTCAAGCAAAGGCCTAGAGACGGGAGAGTGTGCTGCTCAGGCAGAACTGAAAGGAGAGCCTCAAAGAAGTGACCACACATAGACTTTAGAATGTGACTATGACTTGGCTACAATTTTCCAGGGTAAGAATTACAACATTTTCTACATGAAAAGTGTGTCTTGAAACAGGGACAAGTCATGATGGCAATGTTGAACGAGAAATGTGCTTACCTCTGAATTGTCAGTCTATTCTGAAACTTTCATCTCTCAGGTTCATTCAATTCTTCATCTCGTATGTGGAAAGTGAACATCCAAACCCCCCACTTGTCACTCTAATTTATTCATAGAGGCTACAGCTCTTCTAGAGTGTTCTGGTAGCAACTCCATGCTGGAGAGAATGTAAAATATCACTATTTTCCTGATTGGGTTTATAATATATGCTGTCTTCAAGGCAAACCAATGATGGAACAGGCTACTTTATGGTGCAGTTACTGGCAGTTTTTCGGAGGCCTAAAGGTCAGGTGTCCTCTCCTTAGGGAAAAAATGTAGAGCTACAGAAGTACAGAAACGTCCTTTTCCATTCTTCTCAGATCTTCCCTTTTATGTCATTTCCTCCACATTTATTTTGGGGTCTTGGTACCATCTCAATGCATTGAGTCAGTTACTTTTTTCCCGTTCCTTAGATCTGTATGCATATGCTAAAGCCTGTACCTTCCTAAGAAATGGCCTAAAATTATTTAACTTCATGCTTTCCTTTAAAAAATGGCATCACCTACTCAGGCAAAAATATATTAAATGAGTAATTTCTAGCCTTCAAATTTAGCATTAGCCATTGTTCTTAAAACAAATTGTGGTTTCAGATGGATGTTTCAATAGGGTCATGCTCCCTTGTAAATGCGTGATAAAAAGGAAAAGCAATATTTTATTTAATTTCAAAATATTAAGGGGGTACATATGTTTTCATTACATGAATACACTGCATAAGGCTGATGTCAAGGCTTTCAGTGTATACTTGTCATCAGGACAGTGCTTACTGCACTTAAAAACCATTGTTTTGGAAGGGAGATTAGTGGAAGGAGGGAGGGCATTTGGTGGGATCTCACCTAATGTGTACAATGCAAGGGTATATTTCAAAATAACTAAGAGTAAATTTTAAATGTCTTACCACAGAAAAAAGTAAGTGAGGTGATGGTTCTGTTAATCAGTTTAAGCATTCCACATTGTGTATCACATCATCACCTTGTACCCTATAAACATTAAATAAGAAAAAAGATAAATATATCAAAAAGCACTGTTTTATTAAAGTGCTATTATTACTGATAGCTCTCATTGGTTGTTCTCTCTGTGTATGTCTAATGTCTAATCCTACCCAGCCAAAACAGCTGGGTTGACCATCCTTGATAAGATCAGATTCTCCTTCTAGTGAGTTTGATAAAGACCTGGGACAAGTGTCCCTCGATACTAAGAGAGTGATAAAAGTGAGTAATTTCTCAAAGTCTCTGACATCTTCATCATCAACTGTTTTATCATTAAAAATTAACTTTAGATTGTTCATTGCACCTCAATTCATAATAGCCAAGTCATGGAAGAAGCCCACGTGCCCACTGATCCATATACCATGGAATACTATGCAGCCTTATAAAAAGAAGAAGCCTTTACCTCTTTTATGTTTACATGGAGGGATCTGGAACATATTCTCCTGAGTAAAATGTCTCAAGAATGGAGGAGTAAGTATCCAATGTACTCAGTACTTCTATGAAACCTACTTATATTTACTCCCACTTTCTTATGAAGGATAGAACACAACTATAGCCCATGAAGGAGAGAAATGGAGCGGGAAAGGAGGGGAGGGTGGAGGTTTGACAGAGGGAGGGTAAAAGGCGGGACCACACCTATGGAGCATATGACAAGGGTACAAGTCAAATCTGTGAAATGTAGAACATAGATGTTTTTGCACAATTATCAAGTAAATGAGGTGAAAGCTATGATGATTGGTTAGATGTAACCATGTCAGATTGTATAAAAAAAACAGCACATTGTACCCCACATATGC